AAATAGTGGTTACAATTCATTATTCTTGTCATAAAAATCAGTTTTAGGCCTATATCATTTTTTAACAGTACATTATTTATTCAGTCTCTTAGGGCTTTATCAATAGCTATGTTGTAATAAGTGGCTTATATAAATAGTGTTCCGACCACTACTGTGTTTTTTTTTGTGTCCCAACCGGGCTGATGAGCTCTGTATTGGGCGAAACGCGTCGTCAGCAATGAATATGGCTGATATAGTATGGTTGAAATTCTCTTATATCTTGAAAAAGCCCGAAAGGACTGAATAAGAAACGGTTCAGAAAACGTCCATTTTTGCTTAAAACTCTTTCTTATTAAATTTTCATTAAATCTTGATATGTCTAGCTAAGCCCAAGAACGCGTGTTTTACAAAGTATTGTCTTGTTTTATTTGCATATATGCACACTGTGCTTATTATAATACTACTCCAAGAACGTAGCTGTAAATTTCTGTGTATAGGTTTGCGTTTTTCTCTATATACTCATGCTGGGCTTGCTTTAGTGTGTCATGGTTCGAGTCTAGTTACCACAAAAAATAAAATAAAAACGCGTTCCGTACTTGGAGGCCATGGGTGCTTTTTTTTTTTTTAGTTTCGTCAACTCAAAACTAGGGACAGTTATTCTGAAACATACTCAGGGTAATCAGCTTAATTTAAAGTTGTCGTCCAAAAAAAAAAGATTGTTTGTGCTGTATACGTGCAGCTTTCTAACATGAAACCGCATTCACAGTATCCTTTCGAGGGTTCTTTACCGACATTCTGTGAACCTGTAAGTGTCAGGAGTCTATGTATAGACTTTTCTCTATTCATTATTGCTTAATTATCTAATTAGAAGATAATACAGGAACGTCAAGGCCAGCCTCTAACGTTAAGAATAGAAAGATGAGAAGGTGATGGTACATTAATAGATCGCGGTCTTCTGTCTGGGTCTCCAACCTCATTCACAGTTGGCGAGTCTGTCTGCTCCAATATTTGAGCTAAAAACAGCGCCTACGCTTCTCCTTCCTCTGTTTTATACTTTCTAGTAACTATTCTTCAGAGATCGTCCAACCTGCTTTTACTGCCTTATGGCTCTTGTTTTGCTATTTCACAAGCAGCGATACTCAGTATGCGTTTCCTATTGCTTGCTGTTTATATTACTTTTCATTTCGATTATATTATAAATAACTTTTCCAAGTGTTTACTGTCATTCCACAAGCAACGTTTTAGAAGAACCAGCAAAACTGGTTAGTGAGATCTATATGAAAAAAAAGAGATGTTAAGGATAATTACTTAGGTTTTTTTTATTCAAAAAATCAATAACTAGTAGTGAAAAACAAAAGAAAAAAACCATGTGTTTGGGGTAAGTTGAAAGATTAAATATAAGTACATTCAAAGAAAAACTCAACTGGAGAAAAATATCAATGACTATTGAGAAACTCGAAGTAGCAACGAAAGGAATGCGAGATATTGTTTTGCAACAGTAAACAGAAGGAAAACCAGAAAAAAAGAAGATATAAAAAAAATATAACCCGTGGTGGAACAGGACATTAAGGAAGAAGAACCAGCAAAACTGGTTAGTGTAATGTCCTGTTCCATCACGGGTTATATTTTTTTATATCTTCTCACTAACCAGTTTTGTTGGTTCTTCTTCCTAATGTTCTGTTCCACCACGGGTTATATTTTTTATATCTTCTCACTAACCAGTTTTGTTGGTTCTTCTTCCTAATGTTCTGTTCCACCACGGGTTATATTTTTTATATCTTCTCACTAACCAGTTTTGCTGGTTATTCTTCCTAATGTCCTGTTCCACCACGGGTTATATTCTTTTATATCTTCTCCTTAACCATTTTTTACTGGTTCTTCTTACTAACACCATCCAGTACTGGTCATATTTCTTAAATTTTCTCCCTAACCATTCCTACTTGTTTTTCTTCCTAATGTCCTGTTCTACAACTGGTTATATTTTTCTATATCTTCTCCTTAACCATTTTTTACTGGTTCTTCTTACTAACACCATCCAGTACTGGTCATATTTCTTAGATTTTCTCCCTAACCATTCCTACTTGTTCTACAACTGGTTATATTTTTTTAGATCTTACTAACCATTCTTACTGTTTCTTCTTACTAACGTCTTGTTCCATCACTGGTCATATATTTCTTGGTTTGTTTTTATAGCTGGGTTTCTTCACATACTACACCGTTACCATGGGGGAGATCACAACCACAGGTCCTGTTCCGATCGATAGTCTTTTTATATACCGTCCCGACAAACGGCTCGAAGTTTGGAGGTTTGTCTTCTACATGGTCCTTCATGCAGGGTAAGTTAAAGTTTCAAAATTTCGACACTAGTGAACGACTGATTCAAGATGCTGCAATACAATGCTATTTTTGTTGTTGTTGTTTTTTGGTCCGTTTAAATTGTTCCTAATACAAATTATTTTTGGTTACCGAAGGCGTTTAATTACACATTTTTGAATGAGTGTTACTTCGCATAAATGATAAATTCTAGCCTAATTCCATCGCAACACAGTCTTTTACTGCCTGACGATGGTCGTCTGCTCGAAACGTCGGGTAAAATAAACTTGAAAAAGATTTCATTTAGATGTGTCAATATATTCTGTATTATCATTTATCCAAGTGGTTAATTACACGTGCTACGAATTGACGTTGAATTACTCATATTAACAGAATTTTATGATTAATGACTTACAATTTATATATTTGAGGCCACACCAAAAGTGGATTAAAACGATGGTTCGTCAAAATTTTCTCGACCTACATAGATTCTACTCTTTGATCTATATCTCTCACATGCGAATAGTTTCAGACGGAGGATTTCATTTGTCATTTTTGAAGCCAAGGTTTAGTATTGAACAAAAATAATTTTACTTAGTGACCTATGACAAAAAGAATGTATGTTTTTAACTATTCTTTTCATGCCCTTCTGTTATAATGAACTTGAATGAAACAGTTTCCTTAGTAAACCACAGAAAGACTTAGTTGAAAGCAATACTTCAACACCTGAATTAGGTCTCGTTGATATCATTTATATGCTCCCCTATTGTTTGTTTTTTGGTAAGTAAACACAGAGCTACACAATGGGCTATCTGTGCTCTACCAATCACGAGTATCGAAACCCGGTTTCTAGTGTTGTAAGTCCGTAGATATACGGCTGTGCCACTGGGGGGCACAGTGGTGAGTTAGACTTATAACGCTAAAATCTGGTTTCGATACTCGTGGTGGGAACAGCACTGGCAGCCCATTTTGTTGCTTTGTGTTTAACAACAAACAAACGTACTATACGGTTGTGCTTTGTGCTTAACAACAAACAAACAAACGTACTATACGGTTGAACGATTTTCCATCACGATAATACCATAAACTCGGCAATATCACAAGATGGTGGATAGTAAGGGCCGAAAACATCGTCCATCCACTGCGAGGATACCAAACTGATGACCTAAGGCAGAGTGGTCAAAGAGGGTTTTGTGTGTGTGTGTGTGTTTGCCTGACACTCATAATTAAGACTAATTACTATTAATTGTTATTTTTTACTAAAAAATATTAGCAGCTCTTTTATTAAAAATTATTATATAATTGTTCAATTCAACCCATCTGTCGAGAAAGGTCGGGAAAGGATTATGATGGTCAATTGCAACGTTCAGTTTCGTTCCAAGAATGCGCAGTTATTGTCCTGGCCAAACAAGGGCGACTGGATTCACTGTTGTGTGTATCGAGCCAACTTCGAACAATGCAAATACAATGGATTATTGCATAATTGTCTTGGAAAAGCCCTTGCCCATCAGAAATTAAAAGATCCAACCTTGTTAAAATAGTTTTTCTTACAGCATTACACCACTTCCAGTAGCTTGGAAGAAAACAAGTAAGACTAAATGCATCATGTGTTTTTTCTCCATATTTGTACTATGTGCTTACTTTAGATAAAGGTGAAATACGACTTTTTACTATTCACTGTTCTTTGTATGGTATAATTCGAGTCAGTCTAACTGAAACCACTATTAATATATTGTTTGGTGACTGGCTGAGGGAAAAATATATGTTTATTTGGACAGACTTATTATTTTCAGCAAACGTTAACCTGTATCTCAAATGACACGTCTGTTGCACATTATAAGTCTGTACAAATAAGCTATTTTTTTCCTCTCGGCCAGATTACTGGTCGCAGTATTTCCAAGTGTGGACGTATACCTTATCGGTTGTCACTGTTATCAGATTCTGATGACAGCTGTTTTTGAACAACCGGTTACAAACAAAACAACATAAAAACAGTATTTTATAACAACTTTCCTACTAGACGTTCATGTTCCTTTGTAAGTTGGAAAAATTCATGTTCTTGCAGATTGTCACTAACGCTCAACATTCACATGACGCCTCACATGATTACATATAAATAAAAGCAGTAATCTACAAGTGTGTTTAGGTCCTAATAAAGTGACCATTCAGGGTAGAGCTGCTTTATTAGGACCTACACATTGAAGTACATTTGTGGCCATTCAGGGTAGAGCTGCAACTAGTACTTCAATGTATAGGACCTAATAAAGTGGCCAATGAGTGTAGAACTATCAATAGTACTTCAATGTGCAAGTCCTAGTAAAGTGGCCAGTTAGTGTAGAACTATCAATAATATTTTAACTCTCTGTCACTAATCAAAATATTTTGTTTCTTAATCAGTAAAGCAGTAATGAAGTGAATTTAAATAATATATTTTGAATGAAAAGACGAAACGAATATTTAGAGTTGAAAACAATATAAGTTCAGAATGACCATTTATATTGATGTTTAGAAACTCACTGACTTGTTTCCTTTAGGTGGATTCATCTTCTCTTCAATTTATTGGTTCAAGTATTAGTAGGTCTCCCTCTAGAGATGGTCCATGGATCTCTTAGAATAGGAACCGTGTACATGGCAGGAGTGCTAGCAGGTGAGTCGTACTCTTACCCAGAATTATTTCTCTTTACTTTGCTGTTAAGCCTTATGCTTGACTTGAGGAACTAACAGATAAAACAAGGTTAATCTACCTTTAGTTTGAACTTGTTGCATTAGGGTTAGTTTGAATCCTCCTGGGAACTAACAGATAAAACAAGGTTCATCTACCTTTAGTTTGAACTTGTTGTATTAGGGTTAGTTTAAATCCTCCTGGGAACTAGCAGATAAAACAAAGTTAATCTACCTTTAGTTTGAACTTGTTGTATTGGGGTTAGTTTAAATGTAACTTGGATTAATATTTCGATTTTACGCGACATGGCTTTTTATCCTTTTCTTAGTTAGTTCAATACTATAATGAGTTATGGGATAAGCCTTCAAAGTCTGTGTTATTCTTTCCCGATTATCTGTACATATCCCGCAAACTGTTTGGCCTAGTTTTCTTGTGTAGCTTACATTACTAGCACTCCTCCACCAATTAACATTTATTCAATTTAGTATGATCTTCTAGATAATGTTCAGTTATTAAGAAACTTGTGAAAAGATTATATAAACATGTATTATAGTATTTCTCTTTTAAATTAGACAACCGATGGAATAATATTAATCTGAAGAAACAAAAAACTGAGAAGGGGTGGGTAGATGTTTGAGTCAATGAAGCTACAATAACCGAAATGTTACACGTTTCTAATTTCACGTCATCAGATGAATGTTTGGTCATCACAAACATTGTTTACAAATTGGGGGAGTTAGATTTGTGACGATTACCTTGTAAGCAACGTAAAAAAAAAAAAACGTATTTCGTTTCTAAATTTAGACCGAATGACCTTGAGTCAAATAATATATCACATATTGAGTTAAGTTCTATAATACAACATGCATGCATATGTTCACATCAAGTACCTTACCTAGTATTGAACGTCAGAGAAATCTGTGTTATAAAAAGACTGGATTACTTAACCCTAAGTTACCGACTTGTCTGTATATCGCTCACTGGGTCCACAAGTTACTTTTTACTGAGTAATTAAATGTGCAACGAACTGACCACAAATATTATGTGAAGTTTCTCATTTGTTTATGGTAAATACATAGGGAACCCCGGCAATTGTTAATGGGACTGAGTGCAATAGTTTCAACGCATGTGGTCCTGTAACCAAACAAACTCTTAGGCCTACAAACAATTCGGTGAATAAGTAACTCAAAAAATGTGCGGTGGGGCTCACGTGAATCTCCAGCGCTTAAATATATACACGTGGGTATGCTAGCAATAAAATTAAAATAGCATTTATTTCGTTAGAAAATTGTAAAGATACCCACAAGAGTTATTTTTATGAGTAAAAACTACATAAGACATATACGAAACTACGGATGTACACGACTGGTAGATCTGTTGACGGTTACCTTGGAAACGTATGGTGCGCGGTGACGTAGGCGACATGAACCAAAGCGCGTTAATGTTTCTATTACGCCCACGTGTGGTAGGCTTTGCCTAATATTGAGGTTTGTTTGTGTTTTCTATTTATTACCTCGTTCCTAGCATGATTATAATATACCGATTTCTTTTAAAGAAAATTTCGTAGCGTAGGCAATGTCGAGAAAAGTGTGCGACAAGAAGTAAATAAATATATTTTAGTAATTACTAATTATATTAGATAATATGCAAAGTAAAGGATCATTTCGACAGAGAAAGCTATATTTAGTCTCCTAAGAATTTTGTTGGCTTATTTCCATTCGAACCATCTTCGAGTTTCTTGACATTTGTTTACCAATATGGGTATAATATGAGTGTATTATACGCCCACTTGTAAGTTTTTATAAATTAAGTTTTATTTTCTTGATAACTTCTACGTGTCTCACCTGTTGATTGTTTAGGGTATTATATCTACGGTAAGTGGGAAGATATAATCTAATGGTTAGGTTGAAATGATTATTATAAATACCTAAACCCAAATCACACCTGTTTCTGAAAATATCACCTAATCGAACGTTGTGTTTACTTACGAAACGATTGGTAACTGGTTCCTCCCAAGGACGCAAGCGTATAACAACTTGTCCCCCCTACACCCATCAGCAGGTTTCAATATCCGCACTGGGCAGAGCACAGCTAGCCCATTTGTGTTGCTTGCTGCTAAACAACAAAACAAACACATAACTTGTCGCCAGCGTTCATAGTGGTTGTTCTTATAAGTATGGTTCAAAATGTTAAAGCGACGGATGATATGAGTCAGAAGTGGAAAAACTTGGGCTGTTAGAATTAGATTAGTAAGAACTCCCAAACTTGGGCTGTTAGAATTAGATTAGTAAGAACTCCCAACCAACAAAAGCTACCCACTTAGATCAATGATAAAAAACAAGAACAAAACTCAACCCTGTAATAAGTATAGTTATTGATACATACTGTTCTTACGTGGTTACTTATGAAAATTAGAATGCATTATTTCATGAGGTGGGTACTATCGGTGGTAAACCCAAAAGTACCTCGGTTAGTCAAGGAGATTTAGGTTGGTCCTAAGTCCATATTCTAAGCTAACAATGCAAAATAATCTCTATAATAAAAGTATAATACATAAAGAACAATAAACTGGACATATTAAAAATTCTATCCAATATTGTTAATGAAAACAACATTAAAGAAAGAACAGCGTACGGAACACATTCGCTAGTTGTTAGTTTTAAATACTGTCATACATATTAATGCTCAACTGTCAAAGATTGAAAAATATCTTAGGATCCATAGAAATAACAAAGGTTCCGAAGTAATTAAATAACTGCACTTATTACATTGGACGTTCTTAACTGGAATTTATTTGACATGATTCGTGTTTAAATGTTGATTTACGCCATAATTGCGTCATTTCGATATTAAAAATGTTTTATGAAAAGTGCAATTCACATTGTCTTTTTTAACAGTTTCGGGACCAATGAAGAAATAATATTTGGGGTCAAACTCCACCATTGGTTGGCTATATATGTCTATCAGTTATGTTAGCCAAATCCATTGCTAGTAATATTATTAATTTCCCTCGCTAATACGTGCAAAAATAAGTTCGTGTAGGTGTGTGGTCTGACTAAGGTGCAGGCCTGGGAAGACAAATACAGAGTAAGAACTAAGAAAATATAGACTGTAGAGTCAGTCATCAGGCGGCTTCAAACCTCATGTTGGCGTCATAGAAATGGCTGCGGGATTTATCAGCCTCGGATGAGCGGCTCGTAGAACGCGAGTTTTTGTTTTTGTTTTTAAGTACAAACTTTTAGCTCATAGCTCCATCATCTCTTGACAGATTTGAAATCTAATTACAATTTTCGACTCAGAAGGTCGATTGGTGTATTTGACTTCTTCCAAGGTCTCATAAGTTAATTCATTCTAATACTGCTTAAAAGGATTTCAATTTGAGGGTAGGCTGGTAAAGATCCTGATGAGTAATAAAATCGAATCGGGTATACACGCATCCCACGCTTGGTGTTTCTGGCGCACAAAAATATAGCTAATAAAAGGAGAAACAAAGGTCTCATAGATTAATTTACTCTAATCCTGCCTAAAAGAATTTCAAGTGCCGCTTTTACTGAGGATTCCTTCTTGTTTTTACTTTGGGAAATGCTGTGAAAAATGCACCTATTTTTCTGTTAGTACTTTTTGCCTGGATATATTTCCACCTAGACGTATGTTTGTTTTCTATGTGTCTGTTGACTGACTTTTACTTGACCCAGCTACTGCTGTCTGACTCTTACTTGACCCAGCTATTGCTGTTTGACTCTTACGTCACCCAGCTGCTACTGGTTGACTCTTCCTGGCTCAGCCATTGTTGTTTTGATTATTCCTTGCTCAACTGTTGCTGTTTGATTCTTATCTGTTCCAGCTATTGCTGTCTGACTCTTTCTTGACCCAGCTACTTCTCTTTGACTCTTACCTGACTCTTTTTGACCCAGCTTTTGCCATTTGATTCTTACTTGACCCAGCTACTGTTGCGGTCTGACTTTTTCTTGACCCAGCTACTTCTCTTTGACTCTTACCTGACTTTTTCTTGACCCAGCTTTTGCCATTTGATTCTTACTTGACCCAGCTATTACACCTCTCACTCTTTCTTGATCCAATCATTTATTTGTTTACTTTATGTTAGCCTAAATATAACTAATCTCACAAACCTAGTATCATCAGCGATCGCCCCGCCCCCCAGTGGCACAGCGCTACGTCTGAGGACTTACATCGCTAGAATCCGGGTTTCGATACCCGTGGTGGGCAAACCACAGATAGCCCATTGTGTAGCTTTGTGCTTAATTAAAAACAAACAAAAATTAAACATTACCAAAAACAATAAAAGACAATCCTATAATAGTTTGAACAGGCTAATGACAGATGTCACTATTTGAAGCATCTAAACCTAATCCTCATAATTAAATGTGATATTTTCGATATTCAGTTTCCAATACAGAACTGAACGGTGTCTTGACAGGTGTACGAGTAAGACTTGGTTTATTTCACATAACAAGTAATGGTCTCTTCTTCACGTAGATACTACTCTTTGAGGGCGCATCTGATGGTTATTTTATTTCTAAGTGTGTTTTACGTAGACACGATACTTTAAGGGCGCATCTGACGGTTATTTTATTTCTAAATAACGTGTTTCACGCAGACACGACACTTTGATGGCGCATCTGACGGTTATTTTATTTCTAAATAACGTATTTTATGTTGCTGTAAAAAAAGAAAAAAAAAGATCACTCATTTACTGGATTAACGCATTTTCTTCTGTTGGTTTAGGCTCTCTCGGAACGTCCGTGTTCGACACCGACGTGTATCTAGTCGGAGCATCGGGTGGCGTTTACGCTCTCTTGGCTGCTCATCTTGCCAACGTTCTTTTGGTGAGTACTTATTCTCTGTGTGTATAATTACTGAAGACAGAATGTGAAGAAAACACTATATACACATACATTTCACAACTTGAGACGTGCCAGACTTTTGTTTACTAGCCACAGTTCTACTGCATAAGATTTTAAATGTGTACATTTTTTTTTTGGTTGCTGTTTAAAAACAGTCGAGTATACGCGCAAACATTAAATATATATAATGGCTATCAATCCTTATATTCATTGTTATTAATCAGAGCGGCCCGGCATAGCCAGGTGGTTAGGGCGCTCGACTCCCAATCTGCGGGTCGCGGGTTCGATTCCCCGTCACTCTGAATATGTTCGCCCTTTCAGCCGTGGGGGTGTTATAATGTAACGATCAATCCCACTATTCGTTGGTAAAAGAGTGGCCCAAGAGTTGGCGGAGGGTGGTGATGACTAGCTGCCTTCCTTGTAGTCTTACACTGGTAAATTAGGGACGGCTAGCGCAGATAGCCCTCGTGTAGCTTTGCGCGAAATTCAAAACAAACAAACAATTAATCATAGCCTGGTAGTTAAGGCACTTGACTCGCAACCTGCGGGTCGTGATTTCGAATCACATCACCGAACATGCTCGCTATAATATGACGGCTCATCCCACTATTCGTGGATAAAGAGCAGCCCAAGAGTTGGCGGTGGGTAGTGTTGACTAGCTGCTTTTCCTCTAGTCTATCACTTCAAAATTAGATATGGCTAGCGCATATAGCCCTGGCGTAGCTTTGCACAAAATTCAACAAACAAACAAATACTGATTAGACTGATACTACTGGGCATCGACTTTACTTGTATTATATAATTTGACATCCAGGTTTTACGTCGTTTCCTGTTTTCTTTGTTTTTGTGTTATGATAACAAAAGTTTGTTTGTTTTTCTCTTCTAACACAATCTTCTTCCTTTCAGAATTACAACCAAATGGAATTTGGCTTTATGAGATTGGTTGGTATCTTTCTTATTGGTAAGTCTGTATTCTCGGAATCAATTTCAAGTTTTAACGTTTCTGGACGTGATTATTTTTTTAATATTTGTAGTACTAATCTTATTTTGTCTGGCATTAATTGGAAATATATATTTTAAAATATGCATTGCACAAACACACATACACAAAATTAAAGGACTTCAAAGTTTCAGCCTGAACGACATTTTATACGCACGTGGCCTTAACGTCCATTCTATATACCCCCAGTAGGATTGAATTATAGCCGATTCTAATTATGATCCTGAACTAGTGACCAGAAGAAAAAGTAGCCAGTCAAAATGAATCGCGCCATCTAGTAGCCTTACACAATCTTGTTACAGCGTTACTTCGAAATTAATCACTGTGTTTGGATGTTTCACTCATGCGAAGAATGATATCTGGACAGTCTCTGCGAATTGGATAAAAGTTCGTCCAGTATTGCCAGCAAGAATTTCTAAATCAATTGTGCAGTTTCTTGATCACCTGGACAAGTAAAATCATCGCATACAACGCAAGTAGGCAAATGCCATATTTCGATTCTTATCTCGCTGCAATAGCAAGGTACCTACTCCGAGATTGAATCATGTAATCGCAGCCGCAACAGCACGCCTCTCACGAACCTTTGTGTTGTTATATGCTGGAACAGTCGGCCCAGTCTTCAAACTAATGGATGATTTTCTGGACGTAGATCTTTCACAAGAGTGGTCGAAGACCTAATTGATATATCTACATTCTGATATTAAACATGCAACAGCGATGGCAGGCGTCTTGGAAGGGAGCTTTAGACAGTGTGGTTGACATTTGAGGAAGGTTTCTTCTTCTTCTTTTTTTTTGTAGAGCAGCCAAGTCTTAACCGAGATCAGGGACTAGACACTAGCAGAATTTGGAACCAGTGTGTGTGTGTGTTTTCTTAGAGCAAAGCTATCTGCTGTGTTCACCGAGGGGAATCGAACGCCTGATTTTAGCGTTGTAAACCCGAAAACTTACCACTGTCCCACCGGGGAACGTTAGGAACCATCTATTAAAAGCAGAGATATATACAGGATTAACATATTACTAAAACAACCAATTACAAATAACACCAAACCAAAGAGATCTCCACCAGGACCGTGCTTCATAGTATTATAGATGACATAATGACAAGATAACTCTCCAGACCAAAACTTTTCTTCCTTCATCTTATTTCCAGATCTCCTTACAGCTTCTCCTGATGCAATCCCATTAGTTAAACCAATATCAATTTTTTTCCCTCATGATAATCTAGAATTAGGCGTCACTTGGTCTTAAATCACGCAGTGGGGTGAAGAGAAATTGAAGTTTCTGACCGCCCCTGGTTATATTTCATTCCCCTTCGAGGAATAAAATATATATTATCCTAAATTCCCACCATGTATATAGGTTCTGTATTCAAGTGTATGGCCAAGTAATAAACATAAAAAAATAAGCCAAATCCCTTTGGAAGCGAAATGTCATGAACAGTAAAGATGTGAAGCCATTTCTACCAAATGTTCATTTACAAATGTGTACTTGAATAACCAGTGGTTTGCATTTCAGATCACAGGACATATCCTCTGGTGCTTGATTTGTATAAAAAATTAACTGAGGGATAGTTTACGTTATTTTATAAGAATGGTTTAAATTTGTCTCAGGTAAAATATTAGAACTCTGATTATATTTTAATTGTTTTGCTGTTAATAAACCAGTTCGTGTATGTTGGTGTTAACCAATATATATAAAAAAAAAGTATAATTGAAATTCTATTTTCCTGTTGATTCTTTTCTTGCCGAGACTTTAAGTGAGGTCTGTCTGGTTTTATCTCCCCCCTCCCCCCACATTGTGTAGCTTTGTGTCTATCTCCCCCCTCCCCCACATTGTGTAGCTTTGTGTCTATCTCCCCCCTCCCCCACATTGTGTAGCTTTGTGTCTATCTCCCCCCCTCCCCCACATTGTGTAGCTTTGTGTCTAACAACAAACAAAAAAAAAACATAATTTTATTTTTGAAGGTGTTTTCTAGGTGACTGAGAAACTTCACTTATATTTTAATCAACGATGAAATAAACGTTCAGTAACAGCTTTAAAAATATATGTAATAATATAACCACGACAATTGTAGAATTATAAAGATGCGGAAACTCACATTCATTGGTACTGCTTATCTCATCCAGAGGAAAAGAAAACCCGAGAGAGAAGCGCTAAATTTAGCCGGAAACCTGAATAACCTCAGTTGTAATACATGTTTGTGTATTTATAAAAGTCACCCGGATGTCACAAAGATAATTTATCCGCTCATCTTGCTTTAGTAAACGTTTTTCTCAAGAGTCGAACCCGTGAAAGAATTGTGTTTTCTGTAGTTTTAGTAGTCGTATTTTTTAGTTTTCTCTCGATGTTCTAATTTAGGTTTCTCGTCTTTCTCCACAGCCAGTGCCGACGTGGGGTTCGCCATCTACGGTCGCTACGCTGCAGAACAACAAGGTCCTCCGGTGTCCTATGTGGCACATCTCACGGGTGCTTTAGCAGGTCTCACGATAGGTCTTCTTGTTTTAAAGAACTTCGAACAGAAACTGCACGAACACTTACTCTGGTGGGTCGCATTAGGAGTGTACGCCGCCTGTACGCTATTTGCAGTACTTTTCAATGTTTTTAACTACTGACACCAGAAAACGATAATAATTACAGAGTAGCGCCACTAGGTGTCCCTACACCTTCCTTTATGTGTTAATGTGTGTATGTATGTGTGTGAACAAGGCAGAATACGCATTAAAACTGTACAAAAAGTGAGATATTTAGTAGCTGTCTATTTCACGGAAGGTGTCGCGTGAATGGGATTTGTGGACAGTTAGTCACATTTAAGAGTTTTGACTTTGTTAAACCATATATGGTTACGATATCCAGTGTTTGAGAGGAGGATGCTAAGACAGTTCCCGGTGAAATTTAGAGACTATCCCTAGTGGTAATGGTATGCGGTCTGAAGAAGAATAGAAGGTAAACCACAGAGAACTGTTGAGTTGTCTGAATACTTATTTATGTAACATGACTCATAAAAATTGTGTTTATAACTTTCTAGCATGTATCCACCAAATTATATCTGCGATCGTTCGTACTCACCTCATTTAAAACATTTCATGCAGAAGAAAAAATAATTTTTTTTCATGAGATTAATCTTAGCAAAGCTGTACGACCAAAGTGATGCTGGCGCCATCTTGTAGTAGGTTTTAGCTTTACGCTTATTTCGCTGCCGTCTTAAGAATTGTAAGATAACCCTCCAGCTTTTATCTTGTAGAGATTATTGATTTTAGCTCTCGAAATTAATTCAAGGTCGCATTTGTTTTTTCGCGGGTATTTATACAGCTCGAGCTGGCTGTGTGAGAAATTTTCGTTAAAAACCAAAAAAAAAAAAAAATCTTTAGAACTAATACTCAAGGCTTAAATAAAGAAAACGTAAATGTACCTTTAAATGGATATCATTTGGTCAATAACTTATGATTACTTAAAGTTGTTGGGGTTTTTTCTGACTGTCACGTTCAATTTACTTGTAGGTAATTAACTCAATATGCTTACATCTTTTTTTTTTTAATACTGTATCATACAGCAAAGAATAAAGATGTTTTTTATGCATTTTTTAATTTATATAGATATATGAAATGTAAATTGTTCAGTGTTATATTTTCAGTGTGTTGGATTTGACCCTGATATTTGTTAGTATATTTTCTTTTTAAAATGATTTGAGGCTGGAGTCCGATAGAGAACGACCGAATGAGCATGGTCGATATTATTTATTTGTAGAGAAGTATTCTTGTGTTAATTTAATTTGAGTATTTAAAATGTTATTATTAGATCATTTGCAAAGAGTATATATATATATATACACATGAACCAAACGTAGCTCATTTTCTCTAACCTAACATTCAAGGGGGGGTTTTCGACACTTAGTGTGACCCTTTCAATTAAATCAAAACTTACAAATATATATCGTTCATCAAGTCATTCCATTCAAAATAATGGGCTAAACACTAAGCTTCTTTACAGGTGAACTAACTAACTAGTATTTTGGTAACTGGCGAACGTGGAATGAGAGAAAAAGTCTTATTTTTTGTAGGCAGTTTCATTGCGTAAGGCTTGTCATTTTGAATCATAAAAAAATGAGCCCAATTGATCATGTATTACGATTTGAATTAAGTCCATATTGTTTATAGAAGTTTATGAAGTATCAGTTGTTATGAAATAGGGAAAACATAGAGGCGACAAGGTTGACATGGGAGAGGGAGGCCATCAACGCCGACCTCCCTAATTCACTCACTGGGAGGCCAGGGGGGGGGGGACATCTAGGTTTGGTAACAATCAGTCCAGCAGTTCGTCAACTATAAGCGGACATATACATGTACTAACTGATGTCAGATAATGGTTTAGATAATAAAGTTTGTACAACTGATGGCTACAAGTAGATCTGACCAATCAAATTATGGTAACTGATGGCTACAAGTACATCTGACCAATCAAATTATGGTAACTGATGGCTAAAAATACATCTGACCAATCACATACGATAACTGATTCCTTATTGCTATAGTATAGAATAAATTCCTGGGCACTTGATAACTTGTTAGGACAAAGAGGGAAAAGTTTTGATTTCCTTCATAAACTTCTATAACCAAGAATTGCTTACAACATTTTTTAAAATATACTTTCTAGTTTAGTTTAATTTCGAAAAGGTATTGATGCTACATTTTGTCAAGAAAATCTAACTGACACATATTAATATTGCCCAAGAATAATAACAAGATTTCTCTTTTCAAAATGTAATTTTTACCAATACCTAATTGGTCCTAAAACATTTAAGATATACTCAAGTTCATAGCTTGGAGTTTGAAACAAAAATGTTAATTTTTGTAAAATCTACTTTGCTTGGGAAACCTTTAAATGGAAAATGTTTACAAAATACTTGTGTATTTTATAGAAACTAGTCACCGAAAGTTAAGCAAAAGGGATTTTATGTGAAAACGACCTCTAGGGGAAAGTTTTATAATAAAAAAGAAATGAAGATATTTATGGAAATTTTTACGAGAAAATATTCAGTCTTTCATCTTGATATAACTTGAAGAGACTTGATCACGTCAGTTACCAAAAGTTAATTGAGGCCCAAGCCTTCAAATCTCATAACTCAGGTCATATCATTCCTGCACAAGACATATGCATTTCGAGGCTCCTCAGAGTCAGGCTTCACTAGATTTAAACTATACGTATATTGTTATACTTTTTCTCACATACCTCTCTAGATTGTGATATTCACAATCTCCAAGATCAATTTCATACCAACTATGAATTTCACAAGCAGTTTTATCTGTAATAATGGCAAAAAGTTACACAACTAATTGTTGTTTAATTCTTTTGGCATGTATGGGTCAAAGATCACGTGAAGAATAAAAATGAATTAAAGCAGATTTTCAACAGACTGGGTAAAAAGCCTTGTCCTCCTTTTGGAGGATTTGTTTAAACATAAAAGGTATTTTTATTGTGTTTGGTGCAGTTGTTAATGTGATACCTGTGCTGGAGGATGCCTCTCAGTTAAGCCTCGCCATTCCAAGTGTTACGATAAAGGTTTCATCCAGTTTATTGTTGTGTCACAATAAAAGTTTCATCCATTTTATTGTTGTGTCACAATAAAGATTTCATCCAGTTTATTGTTGTGTCACAATAAAGATTTCACCCAGTTTATTGTTGTGTCACAATAAAGGTTTCACCCAGTTTATTGTTGCATCACAATAAAGAAATTTCATCCAGTTTATTGTTGTGTCACAATAAAGATTTCATCCAGTTTATTGTTGTGTCACAATAAAGGTTTCATCCAGTTTATTGTTGCATCACAATAAAGAAATTTCATCCAGTTTATTGTTGTTATTTCAGTAGTTACTGTGTACAGAAGGAGTTTTGTTTGTTTTATTGTGAAGAGTGTATAACAATTTGGTTATTTATTTCTCTGTATATCTTTTCTGTACAGGATATGTTGTAATGTTGAGTGATTTGATGGATTGTAAACACAACGTCATTTCAACCAATGATATTAAAACATATGTTATATACAATTTAAGTTTTGGTTTTTGTTCTACACATACTTTCAATGCACTTTTCTGGAGATTTACAAGTCCTATTTGAACTTACTTTTGGTGTATTAGTTCCAGACTGCTGCTAAGTGCTATGAATTATTGAAACCACTGGTGTTATTAGACACGCCGGCTGTAAGCGTTGCTGGTTTGAGTTACTTGAAATTTATGAAAACTGTCTAGTTTCATGATAATCTTGTAACTTTCTGAATTACCGTTTAAATGTTGAAGGAAACCAATAAGACTACATAAGATCAACAAATATTATAAAACACGTCGAAATACGTTGCAACTAATATTTATTTCAAACTTCCATGGCTAGGCGTGGCATGCCGGACTGTGGATCCAAGGGTCCAAAATTCGCGTCACGTTCCCACAAACAATCGTGTTTCCTAACGCTTTGGTGCGCGTTATAAAAGTGACAGTTAACTCCCACTATTCAGTTAGAGATATGGCGGTGGGTTATGCTGACCAGTTATTTTCCCTCTAGTCTGTCAGTTCAAGATTAGGGACAGATAGCATTTGTGTAACTTTGCGCAGTTCTACGTGTAAGTTATATGGTAGAAAACATCCTTATGAAACATAAGGAAAATTTTTACTCCATAAGATACAGATCGAAATCTAATTTACAAGATTCGCGTCTTACTTTTATCTAATATTGTTGTGCCTCCTCGGTGGATCTGCGGAAATTCTGCAGGCTTCCGACGCTAAAATTCAGGTTTCGATACCCGTGGTGGACAGAGCACAGATAGCCTATTGTATAGCTTTGTGCTCAACAAGGCCCAAACCAATATTTTTGCTTATAAAAAAAACAAAACAAAAACGAATAAACCCATAATGCATCGCAGTTATATTGTAATTATTCTAATGAGGTTGAATGAACGCCACAAGAGCTGAATTTTCTTGTTTCGGAATTTCGTTATGCACGTTTGATTTAATCGGCCGTCGGGATGACATTATTATGGGTGATGACGTTTTAAATAAAAGACAGGTCTGCACGTGTTCATAAACATATTAAACGTGTATCTCTAATAAACATAAAATCAAAATTCTGGACACAAATATGAAAACAGTTAGTTAACTCAAGGTGGATGTAGTTTGTACTTTCGTTCATGGATGATTTCGTGCTAATATTAATATAGGCCTACCAGAAGAGTAAACTTACGTCATAAAACCGGTTGTTAAAGATTTAGTAAAACATCCATATAAAGATAACTTTGAATACGCTTCTTGTTTCTTGTTTGTTTTGAATTTCGCGCAACGCTACACGAGGGCTATCTGCGCTAGCCGT